GGATTCCCTGTCACGATTTCGAAAATCACCATTTCGAAAATCACCATTTCGAAAATCACCATTTCGAAAAATCACCATTTCGAAAATCACCATTTCGAAAATCACCATTTCGAAAATCACCATTTCGAAAAGACACTATTTCGAAAATCACCATTTCGAAAATCACCATTTCGAAAATCACCATTTCGAAAAATCACCATTTCGAAAATCACCATTTCGAAAATCACCATTTCGAAAATCACCATTTCGAAAAGACACCATTTCGAAAATCACCATTTCGAAAATCACCATTTCGAAAATCACCATTTCGAAAAGACACCATTTCGAAAAGACACCATTTCGAAAATCACCATTTCGAAAAGTCACGATTTCGAAAAACACCATTTCGAAAAACACCATTTCGAAAAACACCATTTCGAAAAAATCCCCAGTTCGAAAAGACCCGTTCTTCAAACAGGCATAAAAATGCAGTGTCGAAAAACCACGGTTTTTCTCGGATATGACTAGTGATGTAATAGAAATTGTTTTAGTGGTGTCTATGATGAAATTAATCATATCCCCAGTGGAAAAATAGACCCCCGAACCTCAAACCAGCCAACGAAAATCATTTTTTCTGCGACTGGGAAATGGGATATTGCTAAATCCTGTGTTTCCCAAATGGTAATTTTCGAAATGGTGATTTTTCGATATGGTGATTTTCGAAATGGTGATTTTCGAAATGGTGATTTTCGAAATGGTGATTTTCGAAATCGTGACCGCCAACCATCTACCGTCTGGCGTCTCTCTAATTCGCTCAGTTTTTCATGTTTTCTAACGGAAAATTCATGTAGTTTTCTGCGAGTTTAAGCGTTTTACACTAATCTAAATGGGCTGGAGTGTAAAAAATGGGTTTTGGTGGGTATCGTTAATGCGCATTTAGTGAGTTATAAAAATCGATTATTCTTCTGGAGTCTGTGGCATGGTTTTTTAGCCATTAACGCGCGAATTTTAAGCAGTTTTACCACATTTTTCGCATGCTAGCCACTTTTAAAGGGCCCGGCAGGGCAAATCCGTAGCTGATTTTTCGATTTTCGCATCTATTAATGCGCAAACGCCAACACTGGTATATCTGCTAAAACCAAAATTCGCGCCACAAAATTCGTAGTTAATATGACAAAATCGAAATTCCGAACTTCCCTATACCCTGCCCCCCTCTACCGTAGCCCCTAGACGACGACAAGAGATGGCACTCGATCTACGCGCTCTCACATCCACCCTCAAAACGAGAGAAGGGGCAGAAGAGAGACAGTGCGAGGTTGAAGAAGCCCTGCTACGACATTGCGATGGTTTGGCGGCGCGGCTGAATGAGGTCTCGTAGCCGTCGTATCGTGTAGTCGGCTACCGTAATCGTTGTCGTGCTCGCCATTTGGGCATCTCCTATTCATCGTAAAGTGGAGCACCACGTAGTCGTCTTGAAGAGGAGTATCTCGTACTCGTCGTCAAGAGGAGCATCACGCATTCGTCGTCAGGAGGAGCGTCGCGTAGTCGTTGTCAAGCGGAGCGTATTGTAACCGTTACTTGATGCCGTGTGTAGTCGTTGTGGGCTTTGAAGGCGCCGGGAAGCTTGGGAAATCATTTCAAAATGGGCCCGGGCACCAATATTCGTGTAGTTTCTTTAAATTTTAGCCGTCACCACTCCTTTAAAGCGCCTAGCAAACAGAATCATCTCATCATTTTGAAGGGATCGTGACAGCTAAAAAATAGAAGAAAAATGGGTTAAGGACCCAAAATGTCGTTTTAAAGGGCCTTGGAACCCGTAAAAATCCTCCAAAAAGCCAGCATTTCGTTGTTTTGAAACTGTTTGCATGCCGTCATTAACGTGTCGTCCGTTTTCAGCAAGATCGTCGAGCTGGAGGAGGAGCTCCGTGTCGTCGGTAACAACCTGAAGTCGTTGGAAGTGTCGGAGGAGAAGGCCCTGCAAAGGGAAGACTCCTACGAAGAGCAGATCCGCGCCCTCAGCTCCAGGCTGAAGGAGGTTCGCATGATTTGTATTATTAAACATTTGTAAATGTGTTGATTACTGTAATTAGTACCGTAGAGTACTACCGTAGTCCGTTTTTGTCCGTAACTTGTAGTAATTTGGAGTACTGTAACTAGTACTGCAACGCACTACAGCAGACCGTTTTTTAGCTGTTTTTTTTTTGTATTTTTGTCAACTATAATCTGTACAGTGTCGTACTGTATCTACCGTATTCCACGACCAAAATTAAACCAATCCTTTTAGGCCGAGTCCCGCGCCGAGTTCGCCGAGCGCTCCGTGCAGAAGCTGCAGAAGGAGGTCGACCGGCTCGAGGGTACGTTACCATACTCCTTACAGTCCGGGTGAAAGGGTTACGGTAGTTGGAAAATAGCTAAATTTCATTTTTGTTATTTTGGAAAACCCTTCCACCCTCACACGCTTATTGCTTTTTGTGTTGTCCGTCTCGTTGTCCGTCCGTTTGCACCACCCAACGAAAAGTGTCCATTGTTGTCACGTGTAGTCAACCTGTTTTTACAGTTTTTAAAGGGCCGTTGAAGGCAGAAAATTCGAGGAAAATTGCTAAAAACGGCAAAATTCCCAAGGAATCTCGGCTGGCTTGCCTTGTTGAAAAATTGTTAGCTCTCCGGACTTATGAGCTTTAAAAACTTGACTAAGAAGCTTTACTTCGTTTAAAAAACTAGAAAATCTTGAAAAAAATTCCTAAAGAATCTCCGCTGGATTGCCTTGCGAAAAAATTCTCTGGGAATCTTTGCCATACCGCCTTAGCAAAAGCTAAGCCTAAGCCAAAACTGAAGCCGAAACCAAGTCTGAAGCTAAGCCCAAGCCTAATGCTAATCCTAAGGTTAAGCGTAAGCCAAAGCCAAGCCCAAGCCTGGGCTTAGACCGAAGCCCAAGGTTAAGCCTAAGCCTAAGATTAAGCCTAAGCCTAAGCCTAAGCCTAAGCCTAAGCGGATTCCTCAAGAATATTTGCTATGTCGTCTCGTCTCTGTCCGTCTGTTCCGTCCCATTCTTGTCCGTCCCCACCGTATCCGTGTGTCCAGATGAGCTTCTCGTGGAGAAGGAGCGTGTCCGCAATCTGACCGAAGAAATCGAGCAGACCGTCCAGGAGATCCAGGGATCGTAAAGAGCACAAAAAGAGAGATGTATGTCTGCATGGCATGCGTATTTGTGTGTGTCTGTCTGTCTGTCACACGCCTGCAGCGCATGCACCCCCCCCAAAAATTAATTTGCATCCAAATTACCGTAACCCCCGCACAGATGCCAAGGACAACAGCGATCAGAAGGCCCGGGCGCTGCAGGACGAGCTCGACAAGATGCTCACCGAGCTGAATGGAGTTTAATTTGCCTTAAAAACAAAGATTTGAAAGCTTTTTGTTGCTCAAAAATTTCTCTTTTTCTCTCGCTCTCCCTCGCACTCTGTCGTCTCTCTCTCTCGCATTTCCACAAATTCTCTACCTTTCGATGCGCAATATTTAGAAAAGACTATCCTCTTCACAGGGTTATTGTAGCTAGGGTTAAGCCGCAACCTAAGCAAAGCCTAAGCCAAGCCCAAGTCTCAGCCAAGCCTAAGCCTAAGGATTAAGCCTAGGCAAAGCTTAAGCTGAGTCTAATCAAAGCCTAAGCATAAACTATGCCTAAGCCTATGCCTAAGCTTAAGCCCAAACTTAAGCCTAAGCCAAGCCTAAGCTACCGTAACCCGAGCTATTCCGGTAGCAGCCACACTCGTAATCCCTTTTCTCCGATCCTCCTCCTCCTCCCCTCCTCTATTTCGATTCCGTTCCACTACTTATTCCGCGCGTGTGTGCATTATGCATGTAAATTTGGATACTTTAAGACTATTCCCGTTTAATATACCATTTTATGTGATTTGGCCCTCCCTTCTCTCCTGTGAACTGTGCGAATAAAAACAACATTATTAATTAATTTTAATAAATAATAAGAATTGTGTGAATTGTATAAAACGGCATGGTGTGAAAGGGAATGTGCATTCAAAATAACATAAATAAAATGATGATTTTTACGGGACAAAAATAAAAAAAGTTTTGAAATTATATAACATTTGATAGAAATTATATTATTATTTCCAGTTATTAAAAACATTCGTAAACGGTCTCTCATGCTAATTTGATCCAAATTTGACAGGAAATTTCGCAAAACTACCAAAATCGATTAAATTTTTGTATTTTTTCGAGGATTTTTAGTTTTGATTTGTCAGATTTAAATCTATTTCCATATCTCAAAACATATAGGTAAATTAAGCCAAAATAAAATTAAAAATGTTATATAAAAGAGTTTAAGCTCTTTTTCGACTTCGAAAAATCAGCTGATTAACGCTGAAATAACTAAATAGCTATTATAATTCTTATTAATTGTAAAAATGCATACGTTAGTTTTACCACTTAATACTTAAATCCATATTTAATAATCCATATAAACCTATATATTTCATGTTCTGAATTACTAAAATTAATCGATTTTAGCGCTTAATACAGCGTATATAAAATAATGGTATACATCCAAGATTCTAATCCATAATTTTTCAAATGTTGATTGATTTTTGTATATAGCCATTCACTCTGCAAAAATACTTGTAGATATAAAAGAACATTAATTAATTTGGTATCCTAGTCCCATATTTTTAATGTTTAATAATTTTATATACTTTTAGCTCTATATAAAAATAAATAATTGTGTATATATAAAATAATATTAACTAAATATTCTAATCCAGTATTTTTAATGTTTAATAATTTACATATATAACGCAACTATATATAAAAAATTCAACGTTCAATATAATCGCCAATTTTCAGACGAGCTGGTGCACGAGAAGGACAGGTACAAGAACATCTCCGAGGAGCTCGACCAGACCTTCCAGGAGCTGTCCGGCTACTAAACCTCCCCCTTCCCCCCAATTTTCCTGCTATTCCGTGCCCTCCTCTACTGTACCGTATCCACCTTTCAGCAACAGGTCACTACTACTCCCCCGAATTATCTCTCGTGCTCTCTATTTCTCTCGCTCTCTCGCCCCATCACTCCAATCTGATGCCCACCAAAAATTCTTACAAAATTTTGGCCTCGCTGCCCCCCACCAACCCAAGCAAAGCCCTCTCTTTTTTGTGGAAATAAAAGAGTTGCTATTAGGTGTCAGGAGGTGTATGGTGGAAATGGCATCATATAGAAAGGACAGACACAACAAATTTCTTTATTCAGATGAATTTCCTTGCGTAATCGCCTGGCAAAGGATGGCAGGCTAGCAGCGATTCTTTAGGAAACGGCCAGCTAGCAGCGTTTCCTAGAGATTCGCGAGCTATCAGAGATTATTTAGGAAAATGCCGGCTATCCAAGACTCGTTGGGGAAAACTATCTTGCATGCCCAGATGTTAGGTGTTAGGTACGGTAGAAATGTAAAAAAACGGCGCCGTATCACGGATTTTATTGCGTAATCGATTGACAGTGGATAGAAAACTAGCTGAGATCCCTTGGGAAACGGCAGGCTAGCAGCCTTTATCTATGAAAAGCCAGCTAGCAGAGATTCTTTAGGAAAGGCGTGCGAGCATGGATTCTTTAGGTAAGGGCCGGCCAGCAGGAAAGGGCAGGCTAGACGAGATCCTTGAGGAAAGGGCAGGCTAGCAGAAATTCCTTAGGAAATGGCAACTTGCAGAACTTCCTAGAAACCAGCAAACTAGCAGAGATTCTTTAAAGGGATAACGACGGCATAACTAATCGGTGACTCGAGGGAAAGAAAATGTCTCTGCGTCTCGCCCCTAGGAGCGCTCTATGCGTGCCAAAAGTCGGCCAGGGGTGATCGACCAATGCCGTCGGTATCCCTTTAAGAAAGCAGGCTAGCAAAGATTCCTTAGGAACCCATTTTTCCGTTCGGAACTTTCAAAGGACTCCACACATCCGGTCATGCCATCCAAACAACCTTTCCGATGACGAAAGCCCCGTACATATGATAAGCTTTAATGACCACCACTCGGGTTATATTTTCTGACCCCGGCCTGCACAACGCTACAATACTCACAACACCGCGTCACAACGTGTTTTTCGGCATTAGCAAGTTTGTGAGCCTCCTTTGAATCATCTCACCTGTAAGAGAACGCGATTTTTGAAAGGGTTCAGGCTGCTATATTTGCTGCTACGCTTCCTTTAAAGGAGCTGGCAAGCCAAATTCTACCGGAATTGGAACTTGTGGATTTTGCCTTTCCTCTCTCTCTTTATTAGATTTGGGAAATCTCTGTTTGTTCTTTGATTATTATTAATTTTTCTGTAGACCGGTCGAATTTTGTGCGTAATTTCTGCCCACAAAGCCCCAAAAAACCCCAGCGGCCTTTTAAAATATCAAGGATAGCCTATAGGATCCTTTAAAAATATAGTAATTTTAGAGGGCAAAAATCCATGGCAAAATTTTCTGCAATCTACCAGAAGTTTTTCTGGAATTTTCACCGCAAAAGTTCAAATTTTACTCCTGAAACGGGTCGGGTTGGCCTTTCTTTTTGGACTGAAAAATGGACCCCTAGCTAATTAACGAATTCCATTCCATTCCAAAAGACACCCCACCACTTCCCATTTCCTCCGGGCCCAGCCCCTCAAAATTGGACCCACAGACTTTGGGAATTATTTTTTCCAATTTTTTTTGCCCCCAGCAGCTTCGGGTCAACTTTTTATTTGGCGCTTTAGCGGGTGGATAATTCATAATAGTTCGGCCGATTTTTTGTTATTGGAGGGAGGTGTAGTGGGTGGGGGATAAGCTGGCGGGTTATGGAGAATTCCATTTTATGTTTTTAGCAGATTTTCGCACAAAGATCGCGGCGTGTGCGTACGTAGTTGGTTGCGAAGCGTAGTGTCATCTGGCTGAGGAGATAGAGGAAACGGGCAGGCTGGCAAAGAAAGTAATTTTGGAAATTGGCAGTTAGCCCGCGAGGAGATAGCTAGCAGAGATCCTTTTGGAAAGAGCGGGATTGCTGAGCTTAGTTGGAAAGGGCAAGCTAGCCCAGACTTCTTAGGAAAGGCTGGCTAGCCAAGACTCTTTAGGATAGGAGAGCCAAGCAGAGATTTTTTAGGAAACGCAGGGCTCGGAATCGGTTCCAGTTACAAATTTTGCAATTTTTAGCCAAATCGGGAAATTTTCAGCCCGATTTGATGCTATTCCAGCACAACGACTACGTTACAGTACCCCACACACCCCAGCGTTCATAGTACTCACCCGGAATCGGCGACTCATTTTCCGGAAGGCTCCGAATTCTGGAATTCGTCACCCCATCTTTCATCATTTTCTGTGTTTGATAGCCTGACATCACCATGAAGCTTGGAGGTGTGTGAGTGGGGGGAAGAGATCATCTCGACAATAGGCTTAACCCTCCCGAAAAGCGTCACCCATTCCCCCCTCAAATTCCCATTAAAACCCATCCCCCTTCTCCCCAAAAAATTATTTGTGGCTTTTGGCGGCCCGGAAAAATTCTCGTCTTCTGACTGATAAGAGGGAGCGACGCGGCCGTATTATTCCAAGCCCCACACAACTTTCAATCACTTCACAACCTTCACCCTGTCATTCCCTGAAAATTCGCTCGAACCTTCAGAATTTCACAATGTTTCCAAATTTTTCTAATGTTTTCAAAATTCTTGAGTTCACCTACGTTTGAAGGGACGGGCAAATCAATGCTATAAATTTTCCCGCTCCCGCGACGCGCAACGCAACTCCATTTTTTTGCAAATTTTTTAATGATGATCTTAACATTTCACCTTTCTAATTTCTTCCACTTGGCATGGATTCTTTAGGAAAGGGCAGGCTGGCAGAGATTATTTAGGAAAGGGCAGGCTAGCAGAGATTCTTTAGGAAGGGGTAGGCTAACAGATATTCTTTAGGAAAGGGCAGGCTAGCAGAGTTTCTTTCGGAAACTGCGGAATAGCGGCGATTCTTTAGGGTGGTTTCACCAACACCCATCACCAAATTTTAGAAAATTCCATTGCGTCATCGATTGACCCTACCGTATTCCGAGTTTCACGCATTTTCGAAACCCCACGTCAGACCCAATTTTTCAATTTTTCCTTGTTAGAATTAATTTTTCTTTTCCTTTCTTCGCACGTCAATTAGAGCTTATAAAAAACGGAAAATTCAGACAGAATGATTCTTGCCCGTTAAAATCCGTTGGAGTCGGCTTTATTTCTTGGGAAATCGGCGTCATTCGACGAAAGTGATCAACAAAAAGGGCTCGCTATGCAAAGCATCCCTCCCTCTCCCCAAGCGTCTCTGCTCACCAAAATAATCAAAAAATTATGGGAGCGCTGTGGGTTCGGGATTTTTTGAGAAGGCGCAGCAGCTCATGCTCATCACGGTTGAGAAATTGGTCATTTACCCGGGATTCCGCGGGAGTACCTATTACGGTAGTTTTGGCTTTTTAGGTCATTTTACTGGTGGCCTCATTTCCGTTAGAGTACTGATTACGGCGCTTCTTGCATTTTTTGTGAATTTTATTTTGTTTCTAATTTACGCTTTCGCCAAAAATTACGCCGGAAATTGGGACCATTGACCCTCGCAATTTGGCTGTTTTGATCGCACGACAATTTCGCAAATTTCCTCTGCTAGACTGCTCGAAAAAACTCTGATCTGACGCTACAGTACCCCCCAAAATTTTCTCCAGTTTCCACTTTTTAAAAACTATTGCGTCATGACATAAAAACTTTTTTAGAATTTCCCCAATGATCTCTGCTAGTGAGCTTAAAATTCGGCCTCCTAGCCATTTAGGACACGAAATTTCCGCAAATTTCCTTTGTTAGCTTGCCCAATCGTAAAAACACAGTGCCACTCAAAAAACCCCCAATTTCTCTAGGAAAACCTGGCCTTCAAAATTCCGACATATTCGCCAAGCCATTTCCCCAAATTCACTCCACTAGCCTGCCCAAATCCCTGATTTCTGACCGCTACAGTACTCAGAAAAGGGCGCACTTTAACTCCAGGCGAATTTCAGCTGCAAACCGCGACCAAAGCGCAGGTGTTTTTCCCGAGTTCAGCCGCTGAATTCCTGAAAAGTTTGTTTGAGAAAAAGCCCGAAAGGGGGGGCCGTTCTGTCGAGTCGAAGATCTGTGATAGCGAAATGCCACTCTGCATTTTTTCGCTTTTTTCCGGTCCACCCACGGCTTCAGCCACAGCGCGTCAAGAGGCCGGCTGCGGAATTTTGCACCAGTTCTGAGGGGGTATTGTGGGGGTAGATGCTTACGTAAAACGTTCTGTATATAGTAGTGGAACTGAAATAGGAATTCCGGCATTCCATTACTTTCCTATCGCCAATTTCGCTAGAGAATCAAGCCTAAGCCTATGCCTAAGCTTAACGTAAGACTAGGGCTAACCCTAAGCTTAAAAACTACATTACAAAACGTACATCGCCCAAAAAATATTTGCAAATCCCCCGCCCCGCCCGATATATCATTATTATTGCTTCCCATTTTTTTTGTTTTCGACTTCCTCCTCCTCCCGTCCATTCCTCCATGACAAATTTGACCCATTTTCCCGGCTACCGTAACCCTGCAAATTCTCAAAAAATCGAAGAATTTATTTTTTTTCAGAACTTTGCGTGTAAAACTATGCGTGCCCTGTTGGCCCTGCTCGTGCTCGGAGCCGCCGTTTGGGGTAAGTAGCTTCTTCTTACAGACCCCGATTCCACCTGTGGACAAGTGGTTAGGTTCTGGCTTTGGAATCTCAAGGCGCGGGTTCGATTCCCGTCCGCTTCAAAAATTTTTGCTTTTTGGCCCAGATCCTCGTAAGGGGTATCGCAGCGTACTACATTGGTAACTCCCCATTTTTAGCTGCACCAACATACCAAAACCCGCAGGAGGAGCTCTCCGCCCTGCAGTCAAGAATCCAGGATCTTCAGGTATTACTTTCTAACGTTATTAAATTTTTATTTTGTAGCGTCAATTGAAGGCCCAGGACACGTACGGATACTCTAATCTCAACGTAAGTTGCTGGGTTCCGGTATTCTAGCCACGATTTAGGCATTTGCGCCCCCGGAGAAGCGCATGGTCGCCTGGCAGCCGATGAAGAGGGCCGGAAACGGAGGGGTTGAACGCGAGCCTTGTAAGTTTCAATTTGAAACGATTAAAATACCATTGACGGGTGGATCTTATGGGTTTCTAGGCTTTCCTAAAGGTTCTCTGCTCGGTTTTCTTGGAAATCTAATGATTCCTTCGTTTTTTTTCTAATTCTCCAAATTCCAGCCCCCTAAAATCGCACCCAAAAAAAACCCGGTGGTATTTCAGAGGCTACCAGTGATAAGCCCTCCTTTTAATAACTCTCCACTCCTCCCGAAATTACCGTAACATCCGGGATGAGTCAAATTTCCGACCCCCCAAAAATGGGATTGACGTCAACGCGCCGTGCCTTTATTGGGCTATGAAATTTGGGCGAATGAGACGAGAGAGAGTGAGAGAGAGCGAGAGAGAGAAAAACTGGGCACAAAATCATTGATAACACTGGAATAAGCGGCTTTCGCGCCGGGACCCAAGCCGAAAAATCCGGGGGTCTAAACGGTAAAAAGGAGGGTTGAGAAATTTGATTTTTGGCTTGTAAGCTGTAAATCATCGAGATAAGTAAAAATTAGATAGAAAAACGTTAGATTCCATTACATAAACTTTTCCAGTGCTCCGCGCCATCGAGGGCCAGCTGAGCGACATTTTGAGGGCTGGAGAGAAGCTGGGCGTGTCACCTGATGAGGTACGGTATTTTAGAGTGATTTAAATTAGCTGGGAATCGAAAAGCTATGTAAAAAAATAGCAAGGCCACGAATTCTAGGCCCAAATTCCGCTCCGATGCTATGGACGTCCGTAAGTTGTAACGTTGTGTTGTGGAGTGGAAAAGGGAAAAATTCATCTCAAACCTAAAAATTCAGCAAATGGCACGCCTAAGATTTTTCTAGGGGAAGCGCTCTACAGATCGTACTGTAGTTTCAGCGCAATCGGCAGAGCTTTAGTCTCCCAATCCAAAGTCCGAGGGTTCGATCCCTTTCGGAACTTCAGCTTTTGCTTTTTGCTCAAAAACTATTTTCTATTTATACTACTGGCTCATTGCTGTTTTTATCGATATTTACCCCAATTTTTGCAGGTTCTGAACGATCTTCGCCAGCGGAACACGATGATCGGCCAATAACCACCCCCCAACCCCTACGGACGCCCCAAAAATGTTGCTGTAAAAATCCCCCGCGTTGCTTCCGCATAAAATTTGTCGGGGTTGACTGCAATCGACGAAAAACACCCCGTAAAAAAATAACAATGCAGTCAACCCGGAAAATGCTAATTTTGCGCCCTTCATGTCGTGTTCCTTTGCTGAAAAGAACAAATCCCACGTATGAGCTTTGGCAGATTGAGGCTGTTGCTCAAAGAATAATCAATTCCTTTCCTCTTTTTTATAATTTCACCTATTTTTCCCGAACGTGTACACTTCGAAGTATTATTTTTAAGGTTTTTTTACCTTTTTGATCTGCTGATTTTGAAACTTTCCGAATTGGCCGATGCATCAGGCAGATTTGCGGATAAAAGTGTGCCGAGTGTTTATTTATCGATTTAACGTTTAAAAAACAAAACAGAATTAGAGGCGCGTTGTTAGTGCTTCTCCTCGGTATCGCGCTTCACGCGGACGTAGATGTCTAAAAAATCGCATAAAATTGCTTTTTTTTCGTGGAAAAGGTCAGGATTCGACTCCTGGTTGCGATAAACTTTTATTGGATGCAAAAAACTGTGTAAAGTCCATTTTTGAAACTTTTGATGCTACAAAAAACCCTACCCGTTTGTGGCGGAGCCTCTCGGTGCTCGCGCCTCGGTTCCTCGGCCTAAAAATCGAATTTTCTGATCTTTCTAATATTTTTTGTGCGTTAAAATAAGTTTCTAAACTTTAAGCTCACTTTCAAATCAAACCACCACTATAAAACTTAAAACTAAATCATATAACACCTCAAACGAATCGAATTCTTCCGCCTCGCCGTCGCGCTTGCCCCGAATTGGCTCATTTTCATCCTCATTTTCTTCCGAATTCACCGCTACAATGCACGCCGAATCAACTTTCTAGAACGGTGC